AGTTCCTTCCTTGTACAACTTAGCTATTCAACTTAGCATATAATCATTTTCATTTTCCTAATAAAGCTGCTTTTCTTTAAAAAAAATCATGTTCATGACTTTTAACATTTAATATTGTTAAGATATCAGATCTATCTAATAAATCTATATTCAATGCAATCACAATCAAAATCCTATCCTTTTTGAGAAAACCCAAAAACCTGAAATTGGTGATACACTTTTGCCTCAGTCCGGCTGCAGCAAAATAACCGGGGGGTGACGAGCAACTTGTGTAGATTGATACAGCAGGAATGGGAGCCCTTTATTGTAGGACAGGAGTGGTATATATACATTCCACAGAGCTTATCTTAATTAACATAAACTAGATACAGCAGTCAACCAATAAGAAATCTCCACACTTAATGGCTCGCTGGCGCCACCTCAAAAACCAGTCCCCCTGGCAAAATGCCAGGCACCATCCTGACTTGTTTACAGACTCTAATATTTCCCCCTTTTGTTTAATTTAAATAACGACCATAGTGGTTTTTACACAAACACCATAAATAATCTGCTACAGCAGAAGGGGAGGATACAAAATGTCACAATACCAAGCCAATTGATGGCTCCATGCAAGAAGCCCTTGGAAAAATTATACCAGCAATGACACCATTAGCAAAGATACCGAGTTACAATTTGTTGTAGATTACAGTTTGTTGTCTCAGTCCAGGTAAAGCAGTGTCTCAATAGATTAACTCACAGTCCAGGTAAATCACAGTCCAGGTAAGTTCTGCAGGCAGCTAGCTTGATCCGAAGTCTCGTCAGGTTCCCAGTAACACTGGAAATTCTTCAACCCTCCTTTTCACCGGCACTGGGACGAAGGCAGGAACTCCGGATGGCTAAAGAAAATCCTGTAGTATTCCAGCAGGTGCTAAGAAAACAACCTTCTGAACAATTTAGTACATTATCTCAAGGTTTTCTACATTTGAAATAAGCCTTAATAGTGCTCATTACTCATTAGCTTCCAGGTGTGGGAGAGCCATTGTAGTTACTGGCCTTGGAAATGATCAAACTTCAGGGACGCGGGCCGTCTTCCGCCTGCAGCATCCCGGGAAGCCCCAGATGGCCCCGGGAGAGTCCAGGGAGTGTCCCGGACTCAAACTGCCACTGGGCACAGGGAGCAAGAGCCTGTGAGACCGTGCCGCCGGGTCAGGTTTGGATTTGGGCTCTCGCAGTGGCATCCCGCTCCCCGGGTGGGGGGCGGGGAAGAGCCAGCTGCCACCACTTGGAAACTCCTTGCTGCGCCCTGACCGGCTTGAGCACTTGGCAGCCGCTGCGCTGATTCACGCACCCTCCAGTAACGAAAAGTATTCAGTAATAGTCTTTCRCTACAACTTTTTTCCTGATAATCCTTCTTCTTCTGAACTTTCTTTTTTCTTTCTGACTAGAGTTCCTGGGCTTCCATCAACACATGCCCTAACTTCTCTTGGTTCCACTGGGGTGCCTTCTTCCCTTAGTAATTTACTTCTCACCCCTTCCATATTTTCGTCACAAAGACAATACAACATTTCAAGACACAAACATACTGTATCAATCTTCTCCATTTTCTCAAAATGGCCATTTTTCCTCTCGCCCTATCTAGGGACGAGCAGATTTGCTCCCATCCTATCTGTGGACCCCCGAGGGTCCCGGGGCTCCCTGTATGGGCCACCCTCTGCCGCAGTCCTGCTGCAGCAAAATAACCGGGGGGTGACTAGCAACTTGTGTACATTGATACAGCAGGAGTAGGAGCCGTTTATTGTAGGACAGGAGTGGTATTTATTACATTCCACATAGCTTATCTAATTAACATACAGCAGTCAACCAATAAGGAATCTCCACACTTAATGGCTCACTGGCGCCACCTCACAAACCAGTCCCCCTGGCAAAATGCCAGGCGCCATCCTGACTTGTTTACAGACTCTAACACACTTTTGCAAAAGAATAAATTTGGAGGTTTAGTGCACTTGATTCCAAAGGTTAATATAATGGTGTGGTAACTGAGGCATTATTGTGCTACTGCGGGAATAGGAGTATGGATTTCTAAAATGGAATATAAAATCCAGAAACTGACCCACACGGATGGGTCAATTAATTTTCTACAAAGACATTCAAGTATCTCCATGTAGGAAAGTCTTTTCAACAGTGCAACAACTAGATATCCGTATGAAATAACTGTGAATCTCAACTCTTATCTCTCATATACAAATATTAATTTGAAATGAGGATAGGTTAAGAATATAAGTTAATATTTTAAAAGAATATGTTAAACCTATACACCTTCTGGAAACAAAATTTCTGTGATTTTTATGTAGAAAGATTTTCAAATATAAAAAAAGCATGAAAAATGATAAATTAGGCTGCATTAAAAATTTTAAACTTCTCTTTCTTGAAAGATACCCTTAGGAAAATGAAGAAGTAAGGTACAGAAAATATTCATATTACATGTTTTAGTCGGCTTTTTTACTGCTGCAACTGAAAGACCCAACCAGCACAACTGTAGAGGAGGAAAAGTTTATTTGAGGTCTCACAATTTTAGAGGTCTCAGTCCATAGAAGTCCAGCACCATTCAGGGGTGCAGGTAAGGCTGAACATCATCAGGAAGAGTGTGATGGAGAGAAGCAGCTCACATGATGATCAGAAAGCAGAGAGAGAGAGATCTTCACTTGCCAGAGACAAATATATACCCCCAAAGCCATGCCCCCAATTCCCACCTCTCCAGCCACACCCTACCAGCCTTCAGTTATCATGGAATTAATTCATTGATTGGGTTAAGACTCTCACAACCTAATCATTTCTCCTCTGAACTTTCTTGCATTGTCTAACACATGAGCTTTTGGGAGACACCTCATATCCAAATCATAACAACATACATCTAAGAAAAGACTTATTTGGATAATCTGAATAAATTATATAAAGAACTTTAAAACTCCATAATTCATAGAGGCAAACCCAATTTTTAAAAAGTAAACAAAACACAAAGAGATACTTTACACAAGAAAATACACATTTTTAACAAACAAAAAAAGATGCTCAATATCATCAGTCATTTGAGAAATACAAATTAAAACATTACAGTGAAACATCACTACACACTCCCCATAATAGCTAAAATTAAGAAGACTAACAATATTGTATCATTAATGATGAAGAGCAACAGGAACACTCATTTGTTGCTCCTGGGAAAATAAAATCATATAACCACAGAAAATAACCTAGAAGCTCCTTATAAAATTAAACATGCCCAATAATCAGACCCCCCAGATATTTCTAGAAACAAAATAAAAACACATGTCCAATGGAAGGAGACCTCATTGTTATACAAAATTACATGTAAGAGGAAGTGAGGGGAAAGGGAAAAAAAACAAGAGAGAGAAATGAATTACAGTAGATGGGGTAGAGAGAGAAGATGGGAGGGGAGGGGAGGGGAGGGGGGATAGTAGAGGATAGTAGAGGAAGGGCAGCAGAATACAACATACACTAGTATGCCAGTATGTAAAAAYGTGGATGTGTAACCGATGTGATTCTGCAATCTGTATACGGAGTAAAAATGGGAGTTCATAATCTACTTGAATCAAATGTAAGAAATATGATATGTCAAGAGCTTTATAATGTTTTGAACAACTAATTAAAAAAATTAGAAATGATCAAAAAAAAAAAAAACATGTCCACACAGAGATTTGCACACAAATGTACATAGCACAGCAACTTTATTCATAGAAGCCAAAAAGTGGAAATACATCAAATGTTTATCAATGAATGAATAAAAAATGTGGTTTATCAGTACAATAGACAAACAAAAAGAATGAACTACTAATACATGAAAAAGTATAGATTGTTTCAAAAACATGCTGAGCAAAAAGTCAATTACAAAGAGTGCATGAGTCATAAAATGCTAGAATGGCAAAATTAATGTACAGTGGAAGAAAGCATATCACCACTTGTATGGGGCCAGAAACTTTTTATAGTTGATGGATATGTCCTACATCTTGGCTGGATAGTGTATTAGAGGTGCACATTTGTTAAAACCCATATTCTTCTTAACTTACAGTGGGTGCATTTTATGATATGTACAGTACAAATAAAAAAAAGTTGATTTTTAAAATGTCAAGGTCAAGAAAAAAAAAGACTAAAGAACAGTTCTAGACTAAGTACACTAAATGACAGCACAATTAAATACACTGCATGATCCTGAACATGGAGGAAAAAACTTATAAATGACATTACTGGGACAACTGATAAAATATGATCATGGATTATAGATTAGATCATAGTACTGTATCAATACTAAATCTCCTGATTTTGATCATTGTAGTATTACTATATAAGACAATTTTTTGTGCTTAAAAAATATTTAAACAAAAGAAGAATATGGCATTTGTTATCAAATGGATCAGCAAGGAGAGAGAGAGACAGAAAGGTKGGTGGGGGGTAGAATATAAACCATATAGCAAAATATAAACAACTGCAACTGATAATTTGGGTGAATGTTATATGGGAATTCCTTGAACTATCCTTGCAATTATTCAGTATGTTAAAAAATATATTTTATGACAAAATAAAAAATATTTTAAAGATGAGGTAAGCTTTAGATGTGAACAAAACACAACTATATTCTAGTTCTTAAATGTATTATAAAAGCCAGAAGACATTGAAATGATTGATCCTATTTATCAGGGTTCTTTAATTGGTTCTAAGGATGTCTCAGGAAAAAGAAAGGAAGAATAAATCCTCAGTGCCATTACAGAAAAGGGAAACTGCTCTCCACAGACAGGCTCTTCTTCCTCTCTTTTCTACAAAAAAACATGGCATCTGATTTCCTAGTCATGTAATGAAAAAAACATTTTCTTCCTCTTGCAGCTCATCTCTCTCTGCTTCCATAGCAGAAGTCAAAAACATTTATTTGTAAGTAATCACAAATTATGACTGTAAACAAATAAAAACTACAATATTCCATGTTCACCTTTTATTCTCATCACACATTAAAGCAGATGAAATACTTTACAGTCTTTTTTCACAAATACAATTGTAGCTATTATTGCATTCAATAGAGTCTTCTCTTGTTGCAGATAAAAAAACACAATGTCCTCTTACAGGAGACATCATTACTTGAAGATGACTACAGAAGAGAAAACAGCGGGGGGCAACTCTTTAATTCTGAAGTTTATAATAATATAAATCATGATATAAAATTATATTGCTTAAATATTCATAATATAGAAATATTAATCATAACTTAATTATGATATTTTCTTTTGCTATAGGCCCATTAAATAGAATCATGTCTCTTTATCACACTCATAATTCCCCATGTTTTTTTACACTGGCAATTTTTGGATCATTAGACAACATTTAATTTACAATATTACCATGGGATTACAATATACCAAGCATGGTTTCTTTTTTTAAATTTTTTTTTATTTGTAGATGGACATAATATCTTTATTTCATTTGTTTATTATTTTTTTATGTGGTTCTGGGGATTGAACCCAGTGCCTCACACATGCTAGGCAAGCGCTCTACCACTGAGCCACAACCTCGGCCCAAACATGCTTTCTTATGTCAATCTTTTCAATAAAGTGAAAGACTAAAAAGAATTTCTGTAACACAAAACCAGGTCTCATATGTCTATATTTTAAAGGAAAATTAGAATATAGTTAGAGATAAGATTTCTTGATTGAAGTTTTTGTTTATTTTGTTTCTTTTCCTCCTCCACCCCATATCTAGCAGTTATTGCTAAAACATGATAATTCATTAACTGTCCTGTCTATAGCAGGACATCAGTTTCAGCAAAATGGTGTACTAAGTACCAGAACTACCTTCCAGTGGAAAATAATTCTAAATGTTGAATAAAAAAAAATTGAAAACTTTTTGCATAAATTCATGCACTGGTAAGAAGCAAATTTCTATAGAGGCTGAGGCTTATGTAAAGGTGGAACTGAAAAGGATAAGTGAAGCACTGAGGAAAGATTGTCCCTTAATAGATATAGTAGGCTGARTTATAAATTCTACATCATGGGTATTCTAAATAATGAATGCCACACAAGCTACCAAGTGCTGAGAACTCAAAGGGATATATCTTCAGTAAAAGTCCCTAGGAACTATCTTGAACCTTAGATTTATGCAGAAGGAAAAAAAAAAAGAATAACCTCACCTAAGAATTCAAAATCACAAAGCATCCCTCATGTAATACATATTTGATACATTATTTAAAATATTCAAATCTGCTATAGGATAAGAAACAAATAAGAAAGATAAATGAAACCAAGTAACTTGTGAGGCATAGGTAGAGCACATAAGATGTTTTGAAGAGATAGGTAAATTAGTAACCTATGAGAAATGTTACGTATAGATACAGTAAGTAAATCATGTGTGATGAACATAAACAAAAAAGAAGACTAAGCAGACACTAACTAGGTACAAAATATACATGAAGCATATCCTCAACATTCACAAGATCATTCCATCTCCCATTGTGACACCCATTCTAGCCCCTGCCCAATTAACACAAATTAAATTCATAAAACTGCTCATAAGGTTAATTGGAGAAGTGAAGTTGTAGCCAGGCTTATATGATACTGTGACTCCCCAGTAGAGAAAATATGTGTGCTGATCACAATAGTTTTTCTCTTTGTAGCCCTCATAACTCAAACCTCAAATCTGGCCCTATAACTCACACTATCATCAAGGAAGGATTCTGCTGCAAAGAGCATTAGGGAATAAAAAGATTGCTTGACGCAGGTTTCAGATGGCCCTCTCCCCATCTTGTGCCTTACTGTATCTATGACAGCCTACCTATATCTTCCCCTTTGCATTGTGCTACGGGTTCTAGGTGGATTTGATTTACCATCTTATCTGAGCATCTTAATTTGGCCTGTGAGTCTTTCTGTTTTATGACCTCCAAAGTAGTTTATCTAACAATGTCCTTGGAAAATACAAGTATGTCAAGGTGATTTCAGGTCATTTTTTGCAGGTTTACAACTCAGAGCTCCCAATACTTGCCCACCCCAAGTGAAAAGTGGACCAGATTCAGTGCTGCCAAACATCCAACTAAAGCAATTTTTTTCTTGAGGAAGCCACCATCTTCATCTCAGACCTCAAATAGTTTCCACTGCAGCTTAAAGAGGGGAAAAAAATTCCTAAACACCACAAAGAAAATTGTATCATGGCCAGACATGGTGGTGAATGCCTATAATCCCAGTGACTCAGGAAGCTGAGGCAGGAGGATCAAAAGCTCAAGGCCAACTTTAGTGACTTAGTGAGGCCCTAAGCAACTTCCTTGTCTCAGAATAAAAAATATAAAGGGTTGGGGATATGCCTCAATGGTAAAGTGCCTCTGGGTTCAATCCTCAGCACCAAAAAAAAGAAGAAGAAGAAGAAGAAGGAGGAGGAGGAGGAGGAGGAGGAGGAGGAGGAAGAAGAAGAGGAAAGAAAATTACATCATGAAAAAAGCCAGCAGAAATAACAGAAAAATACTAGAATTATCAGATATCAAATGTGAAATATGTTTCACTCTGTTTTAAGAAATAAAAGGCAGCTTGAAAATATGAGTGTCTAGCAAGATTATTTGAAAACACAAAAGAGAATTCCTAGAAATAAAAATACAATACTTAATATTTCTAAATAATGAACAATTTTATGGCAGATCAGAACTAAATGTAAACCTAATTGTTTACATACTGCTGCAATTCAAAATGGAAGGTATGTATATGCATATGAATGATTGTATCTATATGCAAATTCTTATATTTATGTCAATAAATAACATAAACAAACATATTATAAACTAATTATATAAAGAAGTTTCAAATGAATGTTTGGGATATTCAGAATATTCATTATAGCTAAGTCAGATGGTCCAATCACGTCACCTTAAAATTTATGATTCATGATTCGTGATTTTGAACCAGGTATAGTGGTGCACACCTATAATCTCTCAAGCACACTGTAATCCTAGCTTCTGAGAAGAGGATCACAAGTTCAAGGCAAACCTGGGCAAGTTAGTAAGACCCTGTCTCAAAATAAATTTTGTGATGAAGGTCAGGGGGTAGGGATGGAATTCTGTGGTAAAGTGCCGCTATCAAAAAAGTTATGATTGCTTCATTTTCTGCATCTCATAACACATACTTCTGAGATCATACTACTATTATTATTAATAACTCTGTATGACACCCCTCTTCCTTTTTTAACTATACTTTCTAAAACACTTTATAACCCATTCTTCTTATTTTCACCAGTGACTTCCATTTGAAAATGTGTTAAATTGTGTGAAATGAGAGAATATTCATTCCAGACATAATCCAACTCCCACACTAATGGTAGAGTTTGAATGTRTTCCAGAAACTCACATTCCAGAAGATGTGTCACTGTCAACCCATTTCCATTTCTTTTCACATTCATCATATGATAATCCAATCCAGTAATTATTTTTACAAGCCTGTTGTTTAAGGAAGGCCTATACAGGAAACAAAAAACATCATGTCACAAAATTCTCATCTATTAGATAAACAAAGAGAATGACAGGTCATAAGGCCAGGTGTTCCTGTGACCAGTACTCTGCTAATTCTCCTCTACCTCTCTCTCTTCAATCCTTGCATTTTCATTTTCCAAAGTAATTTTCCACTAGTAGATTATTTATTTTAAAWGTATAACTTTTGTAAATTATTAAAAACATGCAAAATGTAAAAATCTATTTAGCAATAATAAATTTTTAAATAATTTTTGACACTTTACAAACTATTCAAATTCCTACTCCAAAAGAATAATGAAGAATATGAAAAAATGATCACCACACAACCTTAAGTAAAAGGAATCTTCAAAACAAATTTACTAAAGTAAAAAGTATTATGTGAAAAGGGTGCACATTACAGTTTCAGTATCCTAAGAGAAAGCCTTTCTGTAGTTCAACACTGAAAGAAGTAAAAGGGAAAAATATTTGGAAGAATATACTATCTAAAATGTAATATATCAGAGTGATATAGCACTTAATGTTAGATTAAATGACTAAGTGGATTTTAAAATATATGTTTAATTATATTTTACCATATCAAACAAAATTATTTCATGACTTCATATCAGGAATTCTTTTATGCTGAGATTTTAAATGATATACACCTTTATATATTCTTATATAAGAACATTAACCAAGTAAATATTGCCTATGTATGCAATGAGACTAATTGGTAAAACTGTTATCACTTTTATGGTCCTTCAACTCATCTAAACTCATCTCCATTTTGTGGGGCTGGGGTTGTGGCTCAGCGGTAGAATGCTTGCCTACCACATTCGAGGCACTGGGTTCAATCCTCAGCACCCATAAAAATAAATATATAAAGATATTGTGTCCAACTAAACAATAAATATTTTTTAAAACTCATCTCCAGTTTACAAGGCGGCCAGAGAGGTTAAGTCATTTACATGAAGCCACTCAGCTAGTAAGTGGTAGAGATAAATTTGATTCCAGGCAGTTCTAAGTTTTTATTTATTAAACAYTCTACCAACCAAGCTATATCCCCAGCCCAAAGTTGCCATTTTATAGGGATAAATAACTGTTGGTTCAGGCTTTAATTTATCAAAGGGTTAAATATCATTCAGGGAAGGGAATATTTTTCTGTTACTCTTACAGACTCCTTTGAAAGGGAAATGACTGCAAAGAACCAAACTGCATCCTTAATAATAATGGTTATCATAATAGATTATACAGATAGAATACTTATAGATTATACAGATAGATAGCAGGTTTATATACTTCTTAGCAGGTAGGAATCTCCCAGGAAACTTTCAATTATATAATTTTTGCCCAAATAACAGACAGAACACAAAGAATAGGTGAAGGTCCCTCCTTCTGAACTTCTGCCTGTCCTCAGTATCTTAGATCCAAGGGTAAGTGACAGCATCCAAGAGAGAAAAAAAAAGTGAATGTGAGTTCATAATACCTGTTCATCTTTATCATTTAACTTCAAAAGGGATAATCCATTGTCTTGGCAAGTTTTCTTACATCCCTCCCATTTTTCTTTGTTCTTGGTAAAATAATAACATTTCACTCCATAACAGGACCAGTGGCCTTCACAGATCAAACCTACAACACATAATATGAAACTTTAAATTTATTATCTGGTAGTCTGTCAACTAGAGAAATACATTTATCAGTCCTCTATATCTAAATAATCTCATTGCTATCAGTAATGACAATATGAGGATCACCAAAATTCTGGAATACCAAGAGATATCCACAGTCTCATGTTCAATGCAGTACTATTTACAACAGCCAAGATGAAAACAACCTAAAATAATATGTTTACATATGAAAATATATTGTTCAACCTCTAAAAAGAAGTAAACTCTTTCTATGTGACAATATGACGATCCTTGAGGATGTTATGCTGAGTGAAATCAGCCAATCACAGAAKAAAAATAATATTTCATGATTCTACTTATACGATATATCTAACAGATAAGAATGCTGGATTCTGGAATGACGTCTAAATATGAGAAACATTTTTTGTAACTATTTCTTTTTCTCTTATTTATGTCATAATGTATGGAATTTGTAAATAGTATTCATCCTTTAATAAGAGACAGTAAATCCCACAATACCAAAGTGAGATTACACATGAAAAAGGTCTTTATAAACTCTAAATCCTAAGTAAATATTTAATACTTGTTGATTAATCAACTCAATTCAAGATAATCAGGTCATTATGCAAGGTAACAATTTACTGCATGAAATTTAACATTTGTATCTCTTGGGTGCTTTGATGGCATTATCACAGAATTGCACAAACATCAACCATATGGAAAATCTTGCTGATATACTGCAGGTAATAAGTATTTACACTGGTCATAAATCTACCTACCAAATATATGAAGCCATAGCAGAATGAAAACACATATATACACAAAAATTATTTTAAAAATAGCATCCAAATAAAAGTCCTTGAGCCCATTTTTGCCTAAATATACTTTTAATGACAGCCTCCATATCCAATGTTAGCAACAGAGTAGGAGTCTGATTTTCCTGCAGGAACAAAGTGCTCTGAATTTTCAGGGTAACTGACATATTTTCACCTTCTGAAAGGAGTAGAAATGTAAGAACAGCAATTGAATTGGGGACACTATATAGGGTCCTACTAATCCAAGTATGGCTTCTGGGGACCCCAACCCTATACTTGAAATAAGCATACCCAAATACCTACATCATATCTAAGAGGGACAAATCAAATTTTTTTCCAGTAGGCCCAGAGATCACTAGTATATAATATAACCCAGTTTATTAGACTTCAAAGCCTCTGAAGGAAAAGAAATAGTGCAATTATTTAAATAATATTATTTAAATAATAATTTAAATCAAGATTTCTTCCATACCTTTATTTTGCAAAAATTCTGAATAGATCTCAATTTTCTTACGACATTTGTTCTCATGATTTGATTCCAAATGAAGGGTTTTATTTTTAAGACTATCATATTCTAAAGACTTATTTATCCAATCTTGTTCCTTTAAGTAGTAGTCATTTTTCATAATGTCATGCTGTTTGCTGAAGTTTCTTATAATTTCCTGCTGGTGATGTTTTTCTTGAACACACTGAAAAACTAAAATTAACAGCATAGATGTAATACAAAAAAGTATTCATAATGAATAAACATTGAAATTTAAGCCAAAAGAAAAAGCTTCATTTTGACAACCAACTCATATTAGTAATTTGACATTTAGAAAGTAACACCTCAGTGAACTTATCATAGAAATGGAATCATCAAATTTCTCAGTATTAGCAACTTTAATGTAAAATAAGAAATAAGCTATGTGAATAAAATTTTGATGATAATACCTTACCTTTCAGTTTAGTTCATTTTTAATAAATAAGTACCAAAGTAAAAATCAATCAGTCAATATTTAATACATCTTTTGAGTATGAAAATCTGAACTAAGAAACATGAGGAGGTGGCATAACTATTATTGAAGCAGATGGAATGCCCATAGGACCAAGAAAATAATATTGGGATATTTAATTTTATCTAATAATAATATATCAATGATTTTCTCTAAAGATAAGACAGAATTTTAAAAAAAGATAAAGTTTAAATTCAATATCATTTAACATCTACATACATATTTTTAATAAGCTATTTCCTAATTATATTATTAGAAGAAAAAGCTATAATTTCCTTTGAACAGTTACTTCTCAAAAATGTTTAACTCAGGTTCATGATAACCTGAATACCATGGCAGAATTTCACTCAATCCTCTACCAGAGAAATATGACCATGTATCAGATTAAGTGTATAGCTCACCACAGCCTCAGAGTCCATGGAATAGGTAAGTAATATTAAAATGACACTGCAATATGTCCAGGAAAAAAGCCTCACTCAAAGTTCAGAGCCACCTAAGTCTTTCCCTGACTACAGACAGGAACTAATGGATGAAGCATGTTAAAGTCTGTACAATTAGTGTCTAAAGCTCAGTACTCAGATTAAGAAAAAAGGATTTCAGTTACTCACTCTTGATCACCAACACTATGACTGTCGTCAACAAAAGTAAACAGAAAATTCCAAGAGTCACTGCAATAAAGTTCCAGGGCACAGAAAACTCTTTAAATGAAAAAAGAAGAAAATAAGCATCACAGAAAAAGCTATGGCCCACTACTAACCTTAATGTGGGAGACCATATAAAAAAAGGAACTAAAAATTTTTTCAAAAACATATTATACAAGTTGATTTAAATTGTAATCTAGGAATTACAATTTTCAAGTTTTAGGTTTCTAGTTGACATGCCAATTGTATAAATCCTGCATGTAGGAACAGTTCTATAGGATTTTAAAAGCACATCCCTTACAAAAACACCAAAGGCAATAGACATAATTCATATAGAAGACCCCAAGCTGATGTGTACTCCCAGTCCTTGTGATCGTAAACAATCATGTAGAGGAGAGAAAGATAGTAGTTTTTAAAAAAWTTTTTTTTAATATTTATTTTTTAGTTTTCGGCGGACACAACATCTTTGCTGGTATGTGGTGCTGAGGATGGAACCCGGGCTGCACGCATGCCAGGCGAGTGCGCTACCGCTTGAGCCACATCCCCAGCCCCAAGTCAGTAGTTTTGATAAATTAATAGCCAAAAGTGAATACTCTGAAGCTCAAATTGGATAGAGGGCCATACTTAAAGGAATTTCTAGAAATCAACTTTCTGTTTTCTTTCATCAATTATCTTTTTCTCTAGGCAATACTATATTTACTCTTATGCTTTTGAAGTCCTTGGTATCTGAAGCCTGTATCTCTGATAATCACTAAATCAAAGAAGTAAGTTTTCAACTTAGAGTTTAATTTTGACAATATTTTAAAGGAGAATAGAAATACAGAATCAAAAAATTAGAATTCCTCCCTGATTTGAAAATTTTTGCTGCTTCATTACCATTAAAGTTTGGTAACTATTTAAGATACCTAAAATATCTTTTGTCTGAGTGAAAATATCACTCTTAACATAAGCTTTTCATTTCTCTAAGAATTTTATTTCTCTAGAAAATTCAATGTTTCTTCAGACTTCAGTATGTCCTTTACTTTTAAAGCCCTCATAAATTTTTTTGGTCCAATTTGAATCAAAACATCCTATTAGTTTCTCAAATTCAAAAATATTTACTAATTTTCCCATTGTCACAAAATAATTTTTTTTTAGAGAGTGAGAGAGGAGAGAGAGAGAGAGAGAATTTTTAATATTTATTTTTTAGTTCTCGGCGGACACAACATCTTTGTTGGTATGTGGTGCTGAGGATCGAACCTGGGCCACACGCATGCCAGGCGAGTGCGCTACCGCTTGAGCCACATCCCCAGCAGACAAACAGAAGTGCAAATAGAATTTTTATTCAAATTGCAAAATTTGGGCAATTCACAATAAACATTAATTTAGATGCTTAAATATATACCTTTGTCAACAGCTTTTCTAGGACTCTGAGTAGAATCACTCCTTGATCTACTCGGTGATTCTGAAGGAGACTGAAGAAATCTCAGGGTTGAATAAGTCACCTCCTGATTGCTCATCTTTAGAATTAGAAGAGAAGTGTGTTTCACATTAAAAACTTTGCCATATGATGACTTCTATATAAAGAAGAAATGAAAATGTGAGCCTATATAAACAAACCAGGATTTGATGCTGAGAGGTATGTGTACATGTATCTGTGGGTGTGTGTTTATTAACTCCTTTAAGTGCATAAAGCTTGTAGATTGAACCTTATTTATGAAAGAAATGAAACGTCTTTCAAATTTCTGATTAAAGATACTTTACAGAAGAAGAAATACAATAGATCAACAAACATATGAAAAATTGTTCAACATCTCTGGCAATTAGAGAAATGCAAATCAAAACTACTCTCAGATTTTATCTCATTCCAGTCAGAATGGTAATTATCAAAAATATAAGCAATAATAAGTGTTGGCAAGGATGTAGGGGAAAAGGTACACTCATACATTGTTGGTGGGACTGCAAATTAATGCAATCTCTATGGAAAGCAGTATGAAGATTTCTCAGAAAACTTGGAATGGATCCACCATTTGACCCAGCTATCCCACTCTTCCGTTTATACCCAAAGGACTTAAAATCAGCAAACCACAGTGACGCAGCCACATTTACAGCAGCTCAATTCACAATAGCTAAACTACGGAACAAACCTAGATGTCCTTCAACAGATGAATGGATAAAGAAAATGTGTTACATATACACAATGGAGTATTAGTTAAAGAAGAATGAAATTATGGCATTTGCAGGTAAATGGATGGAACTAGAGAATATCATGCTAAGTGAAATAAGCCAATACCAAAAAAACAAAAGCCGAATGTTTTCTCTGATAAGTGGATRTTGATCCAGAGTGGGGTGGGGGGATAGGGAAGAATGAAGGAACTTTGGTTTGTGTAGAAGGAAGTGAGGGGAGGGGTGAGGTGGTGGGGATGGAAAGGACAGTAGAAAGAGACATTATTACCCTATTACATAAGTATATAGGGTATATATGTCTTATATACCCTATATACATAGTGTAATAATCTATGTATGATTACATTACTGGAGTGACTCYGAACCATGTACAGCCAGAAGAATGAGAAGTTGTGCTCCATTTGTGTACTATGTGTCAAAATGCATTCTACTGTAAAATAAATAAATAAATAAATTTAAAATAAAAATTATGTTTAAGTCATTTATGCACCTAGTTAATCACTGTCAGGGTTATTAAAAAATATAAAGAGAAAAATCCATGAATAGATTATGCTCCTATTGGCCCAGCCGATTTTGCTTAAAATGTTCAATATACATATGCAAATGTTAGGCCAAATTGTTTCCACCTCAAACCACYAAAACACTTATAAATTGTCAATTCAAATAAAACTGTCAAATCAAAGTATTCTGAAAGCACTTTTAAACTGTCAATTCAAAGCATTCTGAAAAATAAAAATACCTTTGCTTTTTAAAAACTTCCATGTTCTTGTAAGAAGACAAGAATGGTATGAATATGCCTTGTATACAATCAGAAATATGAAAAAATGTACTCTATGTGTAATATGAAATGTAATACATTCTGCAGCCATAGGTAACAAATTAGAATAAAAATAAAATTTATCTAGCTTTAAGACCTGCTTAATATACATAAAAAACTTACACATGATCTGGCATACATATAAAAAATACTTATATTGCATGACTATACCAGTGTTTCTCCAAGTATATTGCAGACACTATCAGCAAAATAATTATTCAAGGATTAATATTGCAAACTGTTTTAGATTCTAGTGCCCTGTACAAAATGTAATAAATAAAAATCTCTTGGGTTGAAGCCCAAACACCTGCATTTTCAATCCCAAATAATTTCATGTACATGAAGATTTTCTGAATAATTTTCTAGTGTGTGACGATGACAGAAACGAGTCTATGTAAAAATAAAATTTGTCAATAGGCATTCATTAGTTAACATGAGTAAAAGATTCAATCTAGTAATGGATATCAATATAGAAATAAGTAGTAAATATTTAAAATTTACTTTGCATCTTAATCAGTTCAATAAGATTACATCCATGAAATAGCAAATACAAAAAATTGCACATGTAACTGTATTCTTTTCTAAGTTTTTTAATGTACAAATTTTTCTAAATTGAATTATTCATGTTTCCTCTAGTTTCTTAAGAAAAAGATCTTTCTTTAAATTCTTCAAGATGGATAATATTTAAATCATTAGACCCAAATTAAAATTAAAAAAGTTCCCAAATCCCTCTTCCTTTATTTTGATAGCAAAGAGCAAAACTCATAGCATATTGAGAAAGAGAAAATGGTAAACTTCAGTTTTCATATCTTTCAGAGTTAATGCAATTCTAATGCAATCAATAAATACTTGCCTACCAATCTCAATCTCATGTCCAGCCATTTGTAATTAAATACCATATCTCTAGAATAAGTGGGATAAAGTACAAAGCTCTGAGGAAATAAAGGCAGATGTTACCTGTATTTGTGCCATGTGGTGATGCAGATGGAGGCAACTGAACCAAAAATGAGGAATAAGTAGGCCTTTTCAGTCCCGGATCCCTTAGAGACAGTAAGACAAAAAGCAGAAATGAATTACTTCTAAATGACACTCCAACTCAAAAAGTTCCACCCCTCCTCTTGACCAAAGTGATAAAAGGAAATCATATGGTAAAAGCTGATGTTAACGGAAAAGAAAGATGGTCATGAGTTATATATTCCTCCACTTGAATTAACCAACAACTTGGTACTCTGAAAAATATTCAAAACATTCAAAATCAGCATTTGGGGACTGAAAAGACAGAGGAATACATCTTTGGGAAAAACAAGAAAATATATTTTAAAAAATCCAACTACTAGTAAAAAGATATGACTAAAAAATCTACATATAAATATATACGTATTTGTGAGAAACGTTATATCTAAATTCTTTAGCTCTTAATTTAAACATTAGTCTTTCTGTTAAAAACTTCCTCTTGTTATTATTTCTCTTACTACTTGGGAAATTTTTTTTCTTTTTTCACTTATATTTATTGTAGATAAATACATTTTATAAATTACTTCAAAACATCTACATTCCCATCATAAAAAATTTTGGTGTGTATTCTTATAACTTTTATCCATGTTATATTCACTATTAAATTTGATATCTTTCCACACACAGCATTTTTTATCAATTTCTAATAAACAATAAGTATTTCCTCATTTAGAAATACTTATCTAAAACATGATTTTTAAAACCATATATAATTATTATCAACATGGATATAAAAAATATTTCAGTAATACATTACTATTGGATATTTAGGTTACCTCCAATTTTTTTTTGTTTTGGGTTTTTTTTTCTTTTTTTTTTTTTTTTGCTGGTATCAAAAAAATATTTTGAGGTCAAAGAGTATTACTATCATTTTTTATATATATATATATATATATATATATATATATATATATATAATACCATATTATCATGAATCTTATTCTTACTTGAAAAAATTTACCTCTACAAATTTTCAGCAAGGCCTCCCTTTTTCACATATGCAGAACACTTAAAAACAATCTATTAAGGCTGGCAATGTAGCTGTCATAGAGCACTTGCCTAACAACCATAGAGCCCTGAGTTCAATCCCCAGAAACTTGAGAAGAGAACCCAAAAAAAGGAGAGAGAAAAGAAATTCATTTCTATAACTATTATTAAGAGCCAGATGAAGTTCATTTCCATTTGATCCGGCTTTTAAAATCTTCTGACTTTGGTTCTATGAAACCAATTTAAATTGTTTTTCACTATCACTCAGCTTTGCTTCTGACACCTCCATTTCCCCTTCTCCTTTCTCCTTGTATGTGTGTTTACCTAAACTATATGCCATAAACCTAAAAAAAAATTAAAATAAATTGTTTTTCAAATCAAATGATGGTTGCTAATAGAGTGTGGGGATGTGGAGTGAGGGGGAGAATAGAAGGCAAAATGGATTATGCGGAGACAAACCCCATCCATACTTTGTTTAGTTCTAACCAAATCCCTTGCTTATTCTTTTCTTCCTTCACCAACCTCTAGTCAGCACTGAACCATTATTCTTCAGAGGGTCTCCATATTCTTCACTTTGGTCATTCCTCCCATCTTTCCTCCAAACTACTTCAGACAGTATACTATGTGTTCTAACCCCTTGGATATAGTCTAAGTTGTGCTACCTGTCTTTTGTGTGTGTGTGTGTGTTTGTTTGTTTCCACCTGCCCTACTTGTGTCCTGAGACAATCCTTGGTCTCTGAATTACTACTGAAGTCTGCCACTTGTCATCATGCCCCAGAAGTTGGATAAAATATCTACCAGAGACTCATTTAATTCAACAATGTAAGCAGAGTTTTAAAGTAAACCAGAATATTGCTGCTTGGCATTTTCTTCTCCCTTGCTAATCCTTGGTTTTCTCAACCAGATAAAGAAGATTCCTAGCCTTCTATCTCGAAGTCAAACAAGTAAAGAAGGAAAACTCTGCTGAGAAAAGCTAGAGAGTGAGGGTAGAGGAAGTTATAGTGGTAACTGAGAAAGTGGCAGAGACACTGTGCATAGCCATATTGAAACCTCCCAACACTGGCAGTTGTATATTATTATTACCCCCGCTTTACAAATAAAGAAACTATTATTAAAAGGTTACTTGACCTAAGAACACATTATTGCCAATTCTTCTTTTTTTTATAAAGACATTGACTTTTTTTTTAAGGGGAGGGAGAGAGAGAGAGAGAGAGAGAGAGAGAGAGAGAGAGAGAATTTTTTAATATTTATTTTTCAGTTTTCGGTGGACACAACATCTTTATTTTATGTGGTGCTGAGAATTGAGCCCAGTGACCCACGCATGCCAGGTGAGCACGTTATCGCTTGAGACACATCCCCAGCCCAATTGTCAACTCTTGACCTATGTTTAAAATAAGTCTTGACAATATAGGACATGGATAGACTATGAATTCAGAATGGACTGCAACAAAGCATGAATTTAGGAATCAGGAAAATGTGTTTGAATACCAGTTCTAGCTCTCATGTTCTCTAGTTCTCTTAGTTCAAGTCTCTTAGCTCTCTAGGCCTCAGATTCAACACAGTAAAATGGTAGTAATTATTTGCCCTCCAAGGTTGCTATCAGAATTAAGGCATACAAGTAAAGTGCTCGACCATAACCTAGTATATATAGAGGAGGTGCTCACTGAATTCTAAATATTATTATTACTTGGATTCCAAGATTCAAATTCTTCCTAGTCATAAAAATTTGAATAAATCACTGAATCTGCAAAACTCAGTTTGTTCATGTTTTATATGAGTTTTGCCATTTAATAGCCTTGGAAGAATAAAATGAAATTAGTACTGCAGATGGGATTTCTTGGACTTCAAAAAAAGATGGGATTTTTTTGTTTGGTTGGTTGGTTTCCTCTCCTAATTTCTATAAAGTGGAAATACCAGCACTGCAACCCAGAAATGCTAATAGACTGCTGTGGTTCGAATATGGTTTGTCCCCACGAAAACTCATGTTGAAACTTGGACCCCAACACACTAGTATTGGGATGTAGAAAGCAGTGGGAGGTGTTTGGGTTATGGGATGGAGCCTCATGAATAAGTCATGCCTCTCTCATTGGCAAGACTAGTTACTGTCACAGCAGGTTGTTTGAAAACAAGTTCACTCCTGGTGTTCTGTCTTCCATGCACTCCAATTGTCCTCACTTTCTGCCATGAGTTGAAACATCATGAGGCCCTTACCAGATGAGACCACCTGATCTTAAATTTTCCAGCCTCCAAATCCGTGAGCCAGAATAAAATTCTTACCCACTCCCAGATGTTCTGCTATAGTAACATAAAATAAACCAATGCACACTCTTTATCCAACCACATCAAACCTGGAATGCAAGTATTTGGAAGAACAAGGTAAGGACAGCACATAATTTAGGAACTGTAAAACATACAGCAGTATATCACTACTGCTTTAGAAAAACCATTCTATGGCTTCAGATCAGGAAATTTACATTATATTGCCCCATGAAGATATTGGTGACATTAAGGTTTTTTTGCCCATTTTAATTTACATCCACATAGCCAGTGATGGGTGGAGAGTCCTCAGGATGGAGGCTAAAGAAGTCAGAGCACTTTTTCTTATACTTCTAACATTAAGTTCACAAAGGTGAGTAACATATCTGTCTTATTCACTATTGTAACAGCAGCACAAATAAGAGGCATGATGCCTACCAGTGTGCTTGATGAGCAATGAGATAAATGTTGAGTAAATGACCATAAAATCTAGATTTTTTTCAGTTTTAGAACAGAATGATACAAGTGATTAGAAAGCTACATTGTGTAACGCTCCTCTAAACTCTTTTTCTTATTAAGCTCTAAATTTCTAAAAAAGGCATTTTTTTTTTAATGAGAAGACAATTAACTTTTGAAGTAACTTCAGAGAGAACTGATTAAAACTCCTAACATGACTCTTTGATCAAAGCAGCACAAAACTGGAAGTACTAAGCTGTATTATAACAAAATTAATAAAACAAAAATGAAAAATTGGAAGAATGTTTTGAAAGCTCTAGAACTTTGTCTTTCAAATTCACTTTTGCATAAAACATATACATATAAACATGAATATGTATTCATTTATTTTCTGGCTGCTTTGCTGCAAAAGCTTTTGGTTTTTGTTGTTTTGTTTTTTTTTTAATTTGGGAAGCCACATATTTTACTCATTCCTTTCTGGTGATACAGTTAGCCAGAAGCTTTGCACACAGCTTATGATCACACCTTCAGACTTTCCGGTCACACCCTCAAACCTCAATGGTTTTTATCATTTCACAGCTCTATGTAGTTCTTCCTGTCCCAGGCTGAGGTGAAAGATGTCTACCAGCTCACAGGGAATGATGGTCTGAACTACCTTATTGAGAGGAATAACCACTCCTGACCAAGCTTCCCATTCCTCATCCTCATGACTAATATACCACTGAAAAATACTGTTTCTGAGCTCTTAGAGTAAAAAAACAAGGGCCTCTATTTTGAGATTTCCTGTTACTCTAACCACTTGTCTTTTTTCTATGGAAAAAAAAAAAGATTTCACTGTTCTAGATTTAAATACTCCATATTATCCTAATGGGACCACGAGACCTCAATCAGTAAAAGTAACCAAATAAAGACACCTTCAGAACTAAGGAATAATAATCAAAGAATGGCAAATAAGGATTTCAGATAGCTACTTGGGCTCTGTGCCACTAGTGAATAAAGTCAGTGCACAGATTGACAGAGAAAATAGTTAAGTACCAATCCATAATTAAGATTTTTGATTATTAAATCAGTGTTCAGTAAACTATATCACACAGTTCAGAGAAATGAGACAAGGCAGATACTAAAGACACTGAGCAGTTCTTCAACTTTATTGTTCTTCACTTGGGGAGTTTTCCAAGGCAAACTCTGAGCTCACCTTCAAACCCTCTTACTTTTGGCATTTTACTATTTGGGGGGATTCTTTTATTCTAGCTCTTTATTCATTAAAGCTAGGAATCCAATTATTAAAATAATCATTAGGTATCAGTGGTTGGATTTACAACA